TTTTTTTTTTTTTTTTGCTTTTCATATTATAGTGATTTATGCTTTGTTTTTAAAGTTGCTGCTGCCTCTGTGCTACTCGGCCACGTTATGCACCTGGTGTCACCATTGAGGAAGATAATTGCTGTGGCTGCAACGCTATTGCCATTCGGCGCCATTTCCTTGATGAAAACATGACTTCTGTGGACATTGTGTACACTTCATGTCATGATGCGGTAAGGGCTGTATGAGAAATAACTTATGTTGGAGAACACTGCTAAAGCGTTTCAGAGAAATGCAGGAATAGGAAAGCAGCTTCCAACCCCCTTCTATAAGAAGTCATTTCAGACATCTGATAAGGGCTGTTGATTGCTTTTCTGTGTTTACTGTCTTGGAGAGAAGAAATAAGGTACCAGAAATTGAAAAAAGGGGATGTCAAACAACTAAGTAGTCCCACTGCTTTTGGGTCTGCCCCTACTATTGCTTGCTTCAGCCCTGCATTCCCTCCCCGCTAGCCCATGCCATTCCCAACAGATATTATCATTATGAGAATACAGGTGGCCCTCAACTTACGACCATTTGTTCAGCGATCATTCAAAGCTAACGAAGGGACTTAACGACCCGTGTCCAAAGTTATGGTTGTTGCAATGCCCCCACAGTCACATGATCAACATTCGGGCACTTGGCATCCCACGCACACTTATGACTGCAGGGGCACTGCAACTCCCCCCACCTACCTATTTCCCCCACATCTATGCCCTTTTGGCCCTCTGCTGTCCTGCTGTATGCCACCCCAGCTGACCTTCGCTGCCGTCTTCTTGCTCCAGCTGCTGATGAGGCATCTCTGGCCTGGCTGGTGGGCAGTGCTGGGGCTGGCTTTGCTCTGTGAAAAAGGAAAAGAAAGGCTGCTTTCAGGTTTTTTCCCCTTTTTTGCAGCACAGCGCCAGCCCCATACAGCCCAGGAGCGCAGCGCAAAGGGGCATTTTGCTGTGCTCTGGCTCCTTTAAGCTGCTTATTTTTCCCTTTTTCACAGCATAAAGCCAGCCCCATACAGCCCTGGAGCGCAGTGCAAAGGGGTGTTTTGGCACGCTGCAGCCCCTTTAAGCTGTATTGTGCTTTTTTTCTTTCTTTCTTTTTTGCCACGCGAAAAAAGGCACGCCTCGTCAGAAGCAGGAGCAAGAAGACAGTGGCAAAAGTCAGCTGCAGCAGTGGAGTGCAGGGTGGCAGGGGTCTCAAAGTGCAACAAGGCAAGGGTGACTGCGGCTGGGACTAGTCTGAGGTGGCTGTGGCTTCCTGGAGCATAGCAAGCAGACCCAGAGCCATGCGGTTCTGAAGCTACTTGCCACCCCACAAGGCAGGGTTCAGGGCAGCCAAAAGGGCAAAAATGGGGGGGGGGAGATAGGTGGGGGGGAGTTGGAGGCAATCCCTTACCTTACTGAGGCTTGGGGCTGGGAGGGACTACGCCTGGAATGGCATGGTTTAGGGTGGGTACGCAGCTAACAATCGATAACATTTGCTTAATGATGGCAATGGATACTGCTGGGATTGTGGTCGCTAAGCGATGCAATCACATGACATCTTGCTTTACAACTGCATCGCTTAGCGACCAAAATTCCGGTCCTAATTGTGGTCATAAGTCGAGGACTACCTGTATCCCTTTGACAATAAAGAGACTCCTACCCATGTGGTAAGACAATGGATCTGGTAACATCTTGACTATCAGATGTGATGTTATAAATTCCAGAGTGGAATTAGGTGAAAAATATTGCTCCTCTATCAGGAGTTAACTGTTGATTAGGAAAGAAAATGCATTGCATTTAGGTAAGACTAAATAGAAAGAGCCAGCCTGGTGTAGTAGTTAAAGCTAGAAACCGGGAGACTGTGAGTTCTAGTCCTGCCTTAGGCACAAAGTCAACTGGGTAACCTTGGGCCTTTTGCTTTCAGCCCTAGGAAGAAGGCAATTCCAAACCACTTCCAAAATCTTGCCAAGAAAGCTGCAGAGAGTTGTCCAAGCAGACACCAGGAGTCAACACTGACTTGAAGGCACCAAAAAAAAAAAAGACTAAATATTGTAACATATTTTGTTACTTTTAGGTTTATGAAACCCCCTTCTATGTGGCTGTAGATCATGAAAAGAAGAAAGTAGTCATCAGCATTCGAGGAACTTTATCTCCAAAGGTAGTATTTTTTCCTGTTTACTTCAGTCACTGTGTGCTGTTTCATGCTCTGATCCTAGGAATCTGCCAATTTGAAGTGCATTAATAAGATTTGTAACAATGACTCAGCCTCGTATTTCATGGAATCTTTCCCCCCCCCCCCGAAGGATGCTTTGACTGATTTGACTGGAGATGCTGAGCGCCTCCCTGTGGAGGGTCATCACGGAACTTGGCTTGGACACAAGGTATGTATAGAATACTTTTGATTTTAATTGGTTAATATATAATATATAATTTCATCTCATTCTTTTAAAATTTCTCTTGAAAGCATACAATTTAAAATTATATGTAACACTTGTATGAAAGCCACAACATGAACTGCAATCTGTTGGTACTGAAAAAGGTATAAAAATCTCTTGAAGTTACTTTCATTCAAAGTGCTCTCCCCCCAAAAAACAACTGGCAGTTAAAGAAATAGAACCTGGTAATAACCACACAAAGCTGATGGAGTATGAAATGCAGTTCTGTGATAGAAGAGGATTTTGAAATTCCAAGAAGTGCAGGATCTTTTATTATTTTATTATAAATTGATATGCCTAATAGATAGAAATCTCTTTAAATGTATTGCTTTGGATTATGGAAAATGAAACTGCCAAGCAATGTTTCATTGTTTTTGTTTGAATATATTTTAAAATATGTAATAAAAGTTCAACTTTGTGAGTTTGTATGTTTTTGATAGACAGTCCTAACAAATATGGTGAGAACATATCTAGAATTTCTGAAAGCATTTACTCTACATCTTCTCAAGATCCATCAACATGCATACCTACATACCTGTTACTCTGTTTACTTTTGGGGTGAGCATTATGCCGAGTACAGAAAAAGAGTAAGAAAAACTAAGCCAAAAAATGTAAAAGCCTGAGATAAGAAAAGCAAACATATCTACAACTAGTTTACAAATAATAAAATGTTTGATAATATTATTATGCAAGTGTAGGCCCAAAGTAGATCAGCGACTGCTTTTCTTTCTCTGGATGATTTGTGGTGGATCAGCAAGAACTTTTTACCCCCAATAAAGTTTTTTTCTCCCCATCCTGAATGACAGTGTTGAAAGCAAGGGGAGGGATTCCGGAAGTGGGTTTTGAGTAGAAGGGCTTTGAGTTTCATTAAGTTCTGATATTTTAATAAATGTCTACATTCAGATTTTTTTTTTTAAAAATCCAAGAATCTACAGATGCCAGTAGGTTGCCAGTACCTATAACAAGGTTCTTTTAACAAGTAATATAGATTTTGCAAATCTGCTGACCTCTGCCCTATAGCCAGTAAATTTGAAAGGATTATGTCTAAACAATTGCAAACCACCATTTCAAGTGACATCTGCTGCATGCACTCACCCAAATCGTAAATTACTTTTCCCATCTTTGGAATTTGACATTCATATGCCAGCCAGTGCATTCCTATGTCTTGATAATTGATTCCATCTGGTAAGTGTACTCTAATATAGCTTTCTCCAACCCTTCTTATTCTGTGGAAGGCCTTGCTATCACCACATAAATCCTTTTGAAGGATACAGAAGGGATTTATATTTTTTAAAATAATTTGCCATTTCATATATGCAGTTTACAGAAAGGAACATTCACCATCTGAATTGTAACCGCTGTCGATTCATATTGCAGAGCATAGTCATTCCTTCTGATTCTTACCATTATTAGCAGACAACTTCTAAGTTAACTATCTAACTTCCCAGTTTGAAACACCATTCTTAATAGTAAGTTACGTTGAAAGCAAATGACTCACTACATTTTGATTAGTGCTCAGAAACTGCAATTGATACTGAATGCAGTGGTCCAAGCGTAGGTCTACAGGAGCACATAGCACCAGTGCTGCAGGCTCTGATTTCGTTGTCAACAGATTTCCAGTGCTGGTTTATACTTACAAAGCCCGGTATGGTTTAACATTAGGTAGGGCTGCCTTCCCAGCCAGAATATGTTTTAGCAATATATTCATGGCAGGAGATCTATTGGTTGTCTCCCACTTTCATGAAGTGAAAAGGGCTGAGGTCTGGAGCTGTTATTTTTATTTAGCAAACTTATATGCCACCTATTTTATGCATGATAATCCTAGGTGGCTTACAACAACATTCCATAAAACAAGGTAAGTATAGCCCACAAACCCCACAACAGCATCATATATCCCATCACAGTTCTTCATCTCACTGATCCTACATTTATATTTACATTTGCTGGGCTCACTTTCATCCTAGCCCAATGCTTGTGTTTTTCTACCACCACCTGAGACTATGGAACAGCTTTCCCTCAATAGCTGAATTGACCCCGGGTAACAGTGGAACTTTTCCAGAGAGATTTTAGGAGTTAATTGGTTCCCTATCAGTTATAATTAGGACAGTTATTGGGATTGGGGTTTTTTTTTTCTGATTATTCAGCTGGTTTAGGGAAAGTGGCTGTTAATTTAGTTTGTACCATGACCAGTAAGATTATTGTTCTAGTATGGAATTATTGGAATTCTTACTGTGAATGTTTTGTTGATACATGACTGCAGATTTTTAATTATTCTAGATTGTTGTAAACTGCCTGGAGTCCCTGACAGACTCAGCAGCATACAAGCATACTGTAATAAATAAATAAATATATGTTGCAGTGCAACCCTGTGCCCTATCGATAGGTGTCAGAGGGGATTAGGATGAGGCAGAGTGCCTTTCCACCTGGGTAGAGGAGCTTGTCTCTAAGTTGCTCCTGTTCATCCACAGAAAGCTCTTAGGTACAGGTCTGCCAGTGATATTTTACTTATTATTTATTTAAAACATTTATATATTACCTGACACACTGTGCTTCACCAGACAGTGTACAGTACTGAACAGATTTCATGCCATTAAAAGTAGAAAATATCAAAATAATGTATATTAGAATGTATAAAACATGAAAACAGTGGCCATGAGTGACAGAATTGTAGCAGACTCGGCTCTGGGTTAGCATTAGAGAGGCTATTCCATCAAAGCCTCTCTGTTTCCTTTAGAGATCTCCCAGGTTCTTTCCCCATTGGTTCAAACTATGGGGAAATCCAAGAAATCTGATTTCTCTTCCTCTAACCAGCATGAGCTAACTAAGCTTTAGAAGTGGTGCTCAGTGTGACCTGCCCTTGTTAAGAATGGATTTCTCGTTTTTACTGAAGAAGGAAAGGGTCACTTGCCTTGATCACTTGAATTAATGCCTAATTTTTGAAGTGCTGGTGTAGAGCTCAGCTTTGCTAAAACTCACATTTCCTTTTTTCTTCGTTGTTTCTTTTTAGGGGATGGTGCTGTCTGCTGAGTATATAAAAAAGAAACTGGAGCAGGAGATGGTGTTGTCTCAGGCTTTTGGGCGTGATTTAGTAAGTTTTTGTTTTTCTGTAATACGTTCATAAGGTGGAATCATACTTCCAGCCATGTTTCACTATTAAATATTGAATACTATGTCCAAATTATTTGAAGTACTACTAGTATTCAAAAATATCCAGCAGACTTTCCACTGCTCTGAAAAACAATTCCTGGAAGAATTTAAAAAAAAATCATTTAAAAACCATGAATGATTTTTAAAATATTGCTGCCAGTAATTCCATTAATTAATTAAACAGATTTTTTCAGATTAATTAATTGAAACTAGGAAATAAAATGGACGATGAAAAAGGTACCTTATTATAGGTTGCTAAAACTAAAGCAAAATGTATTAACTCATAAAAGCATTGTTACTTATTGTTCACATGTGTCCATCTCCCAAACAGTGTGATTTCTTGTTCATGCTACTATGCTATTCAGAATATGAGAAAGTGACCAATGGCCTGCATGTGCTCCCCAGGCTTTTGTGCAGCCCTGAATATTCTCCTTTCATTTGCCACTACAAACCATTTGCCACTAA